CGGGAAAGGGGGGGGGGGCGGGCGGAAGAAAGCCGCAGCCCTGAGACACCGAAAGGGGAGGGGGCTCTCCAACTGTGCAAGTTGCAATTCCCAGCAAGTCGCTCTGGATTGGATGATGCCGGTGGCTCAGACGGTCTGATCTCACCAGGAAAAGCATCTCCAGCCTGTTCAAATCCATCCACTCGACTGGGGGGAACTGGACTCTGCAAAGTTCAAACCCAGAGTGGGAAGGGGGGTCAAAGGGGGGTGGGGGGGGGGGGGGCTGAAACCACTCACAGTCAACCAAGCTGGGGAAAACCAGAAGGGGCTGCAGCTGGCACCCCCCCTTCCAAGTACGAGCATCCAGAAATGCCGGTGCATAATTCAGACCCCCTGCGCACCCCCCTCCCCCCACATGGAAGGTCTCGCATCCTGGAGCACACAGCCCCCACCCCATCCTCCACTCCCAGGACTCAAGATTTCCCCTTCGGATCAAATCTGCCACTGGAAGCGGTTAGGAGACGCGGCTGCCCTTCCTGGCTCCATGGGACGGGCCGAAGGAGGCCGCCCCCAGCGGTCCATGGGGAATTTGGACAAGGTGCTTTCAAACATTCTAGGCCTGGCCACAAAGAAGGGGGAATTCCAACCAGATTCCCCCCCACCCCAAGGAGGCTGGCTGATCATCCAGAACTGACAAGAGAGCACCAAGGAGCCGATGTGGGAAGGATGCCTAGAGATAATTATATGGAATAGGGAAAAACTGCAAGCAGAAAATCTTTTTAGTGATTAATTGTATTCCAACGCTTAATTTTAAACTCTTGATTTTTAATTGCAGGAATGCTGCTCCTCTCCTTCCAGTACCGGAAGCTGCTGTGCTGGTCGGGAGAAAACAGAGAGCCCTTTGCGAAGGCAATAAATAACCGAATCAGCCAAGCAAACACCTGCACGCATCTTCTGTTGCTCTGCGCAGCCCCCCCTCCCCCCCCACGGGGCCAGCTGCCGTCTCTGGCAACACACAAAAGCACACTGCAGACGCGCGAGGCGGAGGGGAGACAGGGCAGCCCCTTCCTCACTTCCTTCCCACTTGATGGCACGGGGAATAAAAATCACCACCACCACCACCACCACAATAAGTTACTAAAGGCGCACGCCGCCCGACTTTGAATTCCAGTTCCCGGGATCATATTCCCACCTCTGGGGGAGCCAAACTGTCCCATCCTCCCCAGCAGGGGCAGCTTTCAAAAGGAGGAAAGGTCTCCTCCTGCGGGGCTCACCAAGGTGGGCCGGATAGACCTCTCTCTCCCTCTGGCCAAGGCCGCACCATCTGCAGCCCGTGCCTTTCCCGGAGGCAGGGGAGAGAGGGTGTGAGGCAGCTCTCCGCCAATGTCAGCCGGCTGATAATTATGGAGGGCATCTCCTCCGGAGAGAAGGCGCGCAGGGGAGCGAGGCACTTAGCAACCGAGCGGGTGCCCCCGGTGAGGCCGAGCGACCAGCCATTTTCCCCTGCCCTTCCCTGGTGGTGCCAGGCGAGCACAAGCAGCGATAGGCGGCCGCACAATAGCTCTTGACACGCAAAATAGGTTAACGTAATAAAGCCAGCTTTAGCCGGCTGACTCCAGGCGGGGAATTCGGCATCCGCCTCGGCCAGCAGGAGCTATAAAGCCTCTTCGGCTTGTGTGCGGCGTTAGCCAGAGAGGAATCGCCCTTCGATCGAATTACCCTGCGTGGATGTCAGCATTTCTCCAAGGCCTAGTGGTTCCTCCCCCCTGGCTGTGGCTAAGAGAGACCCCCATGCCATCGGCCACACGCCCTTAAAGCGTCACCTTTTTTCTGTTGGGGAGAGGGGGTGCCCCTTTCCTTCTGCCCCCCCAAGTGCCTTTAACAGAAAGCAGCTGGAGCAATGAGCTTCCAGTTTCAAGGAGAGACCCCCCAAACCCTTTCCTGACTTCCCTCCGGGTCTAGGAAACAGGGAGGAAGAAGGAGGGGGGAAATCCACAACTTTGAAAGTGGACCTTTGGGGCTGCTCTCTGGATCTTCCCACACATCCACAATATGGACTAGCAACTTGAGCATGGACAATAATAATACACGCCCTACAGTCCTGAGCCAAATGCATCAGACAGCTTCAGACCTGGGAATTTGGGGTGGGCGGGGGGGAAGGGCATCCCATCCATCACTGGATCCCAACAATTGAGCAGGGTTGAAGATACCAGAATATAAAGGCCCTTGTTGCGGGATCAGAGCCCCCTCCTCAGGAAAACAGGCCCAGCCCCTCTACTACTCTCTCACAAGCCAAGGGAAACCCCCTCCCCATCCCAGGAGAAGCCATTTGAAGGACCCGCATGACTCTCTCTCTTCTCCCTCCCTCCTTCTCTCTCCCCCTCCCTCCCTCCCTCTCTCTCTCTCTGTGCAGCCTTGGGTAACTGAGGAAGATTCAGTGGCTTCGAGGCTTAAATTTTTAATGCGGCTCCCTCTTTAGACTTGAAATATCTCGCAGCGTGAAACTGAGAGGAAGGCGGCAGAATGGAGATTTATTGAGCTGTTCGAGCCAGTGGCGGATCTGCAGGCGGAGGAGAGAGGGAGTGCAGAGGCCGTCTGGGAGCCTTTGAAAGGCAGGAAGGACACAAAGCCCTCCCGGCACCCCCTTTTCCCCATGAAGGCCAGCCAATGCCCCTAGGGAGATCAAAGGAGGCTCCCACCAGATAAAAACACCAGGGACCTACAGGTGATCCAGCAAAGCACCTGGACAAGCTTCCTTCTTCTGCAGAGTTCTTCAGCTGGCAGACAAGATAAAATTCCAGCCATTCTCTCTGACCCAAAGGGAGAAGAGAAAGGACTTCTTCCTATGCCCCCCCCCAGGCTCAATGATGCTCCGGTTTCACAATTTTGAGTCAAAGGAGCATCCGAGCCAGGCATTTTCTCCCGGTGCCGCAGCTCAAATGTTTCACTTGGGTGGGCCGGCATTAAAAAGCGTGCAGATTTTAACATTTCGCATAATTTTTTAATCCTGGTCCGCCCGGAAAAAAAACCTTTGCACCTACAGGGCGTTTATTCAACTGATCTGGCAACCTTCCTGCCCGGAATGCCTATTTCAGGGAATTCACAATCATCATCAGGATTAAAACCAGGCCAAATCAAACAGGATCCAATCATAATTGAAAGGCCTGGCTGAAGAGCAGGTCCCTTCCTCCGGTGCTGAAATTCTGAGCCTTTTTCATTCTCTCCAACAAAATTCCCCTGCGAAGTCTGAAACTTGAAAACTTTTTTTCCCAAGCAAGCCGAGAGAGAGAGAGAGAGAGAGAGAGAGAGAGTGCTGTGCAATTATTCTGTGCACGTCGCCTCACACACTTTGCACAATGAGGCGTTGACGTCCCAAAGCAACAGCCTACACTTGACCCCTGGACTCCGGTGCCCAGACGCCAACCCCGAATGCCGTCTTTTCCATTGTAAAAAGGCCTCTGGGTTCACCCCACCCAGCCTAGAGGGCCTCCTCACAGCAGATGGGGAACCAAGGGGGGTGGGGGGGCACTGACTTCACCTGCAGGAGTTCCAGATATATTTGATGGTGGTGGTGGGGGGGGGCAAAGTCCAGGATCAGTAGAAGCCCCCTTCCATGGAGACAGGGACAGCTGGCAGACAGACTCCCGTGGCCTGGGGAGATTTAACCTCCCTGATTAATTTTTGGTCCAACTTATTCTGAATGGCGGAGGGGCTTCACAAGACCACCATCAGGGTTTTCCGTTGGGCGGGAGGAGCTCCGGCTGTCCTCCCAGAGTCAGGGCTCAGAGGAGGCTCAAACCAGACAGCCCCCCCCCATGCATGCACAGGAGGAAGCCGCTCAAGCAGGCTTTGGGGAGGGGGGCAGCACCCCCACCACACACCCCACCGCACGGCCTTCTCCAAGGACAAAGCCTCCAAGGGCCCCTGAAAGTCCTCTCAACACAGACCCCACTTGGACCTTCGATGCAGTGAGGGGAGAGGGCGGCTTTTGCAGCAGGGGGGAGTAAATAAGTCATCCCGGAGGCTTCCCCCACCCCTCTCCCGGCCCCCGCCAGCCCCATCCATCAGGCCGGGCAGCACCCTCCCCCCCCCAGCTAGGGAAAGAAAGCAGGCCTTGTGCCTGGCTGGGCAGCTGAGAGCTCCGGGGCCGTTCAAGGGCAGCAGCCAGCGGAAGGCCCAGAGAGGGGGGGGGGGGTGCCACTGCCGGGAGAGAAACAAGGGCATTTGCCAAAGTGCCCAGTGAGGCTGCAAAGAGGAAGGCGAGCCCCTCCCCCACCCAGCGGATTTCCTTGCAAAGCCACCCAGGTGCCCCAAAGGGGAGCTGAGCCCCTTGCAGGGAGCCCCCATCCCCATTTGGGGGGAGGGGGCCGTTTCTGAGAGAGTGGGTGGGGATTCCCCTTCCTCGGCCTCAGAGGGTCCCTCCTCCCCCCCCAAAGGCCTCCGGGGTCTTCAAGGCTGCTTCTCCAGCTTTGATGCTTGTGGGGGTCTCCAGGAGGCGCCGGTGGGAGAAGAGGGCATGGCCGAAAAGGTGGGGGAGGTTGGTTGGGGCCTCCGTTGAAAGCCCCCCGCGGAAGTCCAGAGACAACCGCTCGGCTCAGACCAGACTCGCCCCTTGGCTCGGAGGGGAGACATCCCACCGGCACCAGGCCATAGATTGGCCAGAGCACGCGGACCCCAGGACCCGGCCGCCCTCGCCCCCTCGCGTAGCCCCGGGGGCCTCTTCCAACCAGCCGCCGATCCAGCGGGAGCCAGAGGCCCTCAGGAGCAAAGCACCGGCCGGGGGTCCCGTCCCGCCGCTCCTGATGGGGGCAGGGTGTCTGATCAGCCGCCCGAAGCTCTCCTCCCCCGAGAGACCCGCGGCCATCGGGCAACTCGCCGAGGGGAGGCGGGCGGGGAAGGGACGCGCGAGGACGGGGCGGCCTGTCCCAGCCAGACGCCCAGCCCGCCCTGCCCATCCTCCCCGGCCAGGCCCCAGGCCCCCGCCGCTCGCCCAGCCCTCCCCCCCCGGCCGCCCGCTTTACCATCTCGCTGCGGCCCCGCTTGGGCTTCAGGGCGCCTCGGGCTCGAGCAACAGCCGCCGCCGCCTCCACCACCGCCGCCGTCGCCGCCGGGTCCTCGCGGCCATGAAGGGAGCCGAGCCAGGAGTGCCGCCGATGCCTCGCCGAGGAGGAGACGCCGCCGCCGCGATCCTCAGGGGCCGAGCGGGCGCGGCGTGGCCCGGCCGAGGCTCCGTGGGGGTGGCCAGCCGCCAGCGGGGCTCACATCCTGCCGGGGCGGCGCGCGGCGTTGCCGGAGCAGCCCAGACGACATGGAGGAGGGCGGCGGGGCTGCTCCCTTTGTGTGCCCCCGCCGCCGCCGCCG